TAGGAGAAGGAGGAGAAAGATGAAGGGGAAAAGTGAGAGGAGAGGAGAGAAGGAAGAAAGGAAAGGAAGAGAGTAGAGAAGGAGAGAAGAAAGGGAAAGAAGAGAGGAGGGGAGGAAGAGGAGAAAGAAAGAGGGAAGAAGAGAATGGAGAGGAGGGAAAAGATGAAAGGGAAAGGAGAGAGAAGGAAGGAGACAGAGGAGGAGAAAGAGGGAGGGAGAAAGGGGATAAAGAGAGGATGGATCAGAGAATCATAGATGGAAGGGTCCTCAGAAGTCAACGAATGCAATCCCCTCATTTTGCAGATGAGCCCCAGAGAAGTTACAAGACTCACCTAGGGTAATGAAGGGGAGGAGAGAAAAGGGGTGAATGAAAATGAGAGAAAAGGTAAGTTGAAGAGAGAGGGAAGAAAAGAGAAGAAAACAAAGGAGAATAGAGAAAAAGAAGGAGGAAGGAGATAAGAGGAGGGAAGGAGGAAGTAAAGGAGAGAGAAGGGAAAGAAGAAAAGGCAAGAGAAGAAAGGAGGAGAGAGGAAGGGAGTGAAGGCTAGAAGGGGAGAGAGGAAAAATGGGCGAGAGAAGGAAAAGAAGAGGAGAAACAGAGTCCTTTAGTTAGAGGAAAGAGGAGGAGGAATATTCAAAGACATTCTAGAAGTGAAAGCGGGGCTGAATTCCTCCACATGAGATAAGGAAGCGTGCACTACATCCCTCGCCCTTCCAGGCCCACGGCTTCTTCCCCACACCGCTCAGACAAGGGCACTTCAAGGTCAGCCTCACACCTCCCTCTCCCTTCTTCCTCCATCTCCCACAGCTCCTTCACCCCAGGAATGACTGAGGACATTTGCCTCCCTTAACCAAGTCACTGTCGGGCTCTTCCCAGACAGGACACAGAATGGACTCCTACTTGAGAAGTTACTGATTTACAAAATCCAGTCTATGTATCTCCAGTTTTCTGGGAGGGCTAGATTCGTCCTCCCCTCTGCAGGGTCCCTGAATGCTACTGTGCCCATCCCCAGGCTGTCAAGGTGGAGTGAGAGGCACCATGATTACAAACTCTAGTCATGCCCTTCCGACACACTACTTTAGAAGGCGTACCCTGCTTTACAAATCCAAGGATAGCAAGCTTCCTCTCATCAAGTCACCATAAAGCAAAAGATACCTGCAGTGGGATTTCTGATATATCCAGCTTGTTGGCAGCCCCAGAGGAAATCCTGGACAGCTTTACCTCCAGCTCATAGAAAATGGCCAGCTGCCCTGTGATCTGCTCAGCTTCTGGAGAGGTAATGTCTAGCATAAGAGGCTGCAGCTCCACAAATGTCTGCTCTAGGTGGGGCTGCGCTGACTGCTCAGAGATGGCGTCATCCTTGATGAAGGCTTCAGGCCTGCGGAGGAACTCATCCTTGGACAACTCGTCGGGCTTGAACGGAGCATCAGATGCAGCGATTTCAGACGGCAGTGGGGCCTCTGGCTCAGCAGGAATGTCTGATGGAAATGGCTCCTCAGACACAAACGGGGCTTCGGCCTTGGGGGGGACTTCAGACAGGAAGGGGGCCTCGGGTAGGAAGGGGACCTCAGGCTGGTAGGGCTCCTCGGGCTTGTCGGATACCTCCAACGATGGGAGCTCCAATGACGAGACCTCCGACAATGGGACCTCAGGCAGTACCTCCAACTGGCCCTCAGATTTTGGGAGGTCTTCACCCTTGAGGACAGCTTCAGCCTTGGACAGGGTCTCAATCCTGAGCAGTTCCTCAGCTTTGGCCAGGGCCTCAACCTTGGACAGGGCCTCAGCCTTCAGGGCAGCCTCTAAAAAATGAAAACTTCTTTGTTACTTTTTTTTTAAGAGGAAGAGAGAGGATTGAGCTCAAGTGACTTCCCCAAACCCAGAATCATTCCAATAAAAAGAAGTTTGCTCCAAATTATCCCAAAACACACTCTCTCTAAATGGCTAGTTTATGTTCGAGGCTCTGAGTGGTCAAGCTTCAGCCAGAAGAGTTTCCTCACTAATCCCCCCAACACATATGTATATTCCAGCACCTGTGTCTTTGTTCATGTCATTTCCCCAACTAGAATGTCCTACCATTCCCTCTTACCCCTCTACCCTTATCCAAACCCTACCCATCCTTCTGGGGTCTGCTGGATACCCAGTTGCAGAAGGTCTTTCCTGACCAGCCCATTGCACTGGGATCACTCTGCCCATGGCATGACATCTGTGATATTATTGTAGGCACCTAAGTACCCGAGATCAAATCCAGCCTCAGACGCTTACAAGCTCTGTGACCCTGAGCAAGTCACCCATTGAAAAGGCAAGAAATAGGATGCCCATTGGACATATAAAGTCATGCAAAATATATTTCCTCATTAGAGGCATACATATTCAAACATAGTTCATGTCTTCATTTGTCTTGCTTGATTGTAACTATTCATTACCAGGGAGAATTCTATTAGGACAGAGGATTTGGTGAGATAGTGATAGAAGACAAGAAAAGAGCATCCACAAAACACTGAAAAAGACCAAAAGGGGGCTAGACAGAATTTTAAAACAATGGAATGTCTTATATGAATGAACAGAATACCCCTGAGCCACCATTGGGAGGACGAGCCCTTTGGGGTGTTTCCCCAGTCCTAGAAATGATCCACATCAAATCACCCTGGTCCACTCTTCCATGGGATCAATGACAGACCTGTGCTAGCAGGCGCCATATGTAATCAGGGAACAGAGGAAAGATCACCGGCTTCCATGAGAATCACACCCAAGACTTGGCCTCATGAAAACTGGGCTTAAACCACTCACCCAAATGGTTCAACGTGGTGAAGTGGAAAGGGCCCTGGATCTGGAATTAGAGGACCTGGGTTCAAATCCCACTTTTGATGCCTATTATCACCTCCTTGGGCCTCAGTTTCTTCCTCTGTAAAATGAGGAGGTTATACCAGATGGCGTCTGAGGTCCTTTCCAGAGCGATGATGCTATGAGATGCCAATGAGCCCCAATCTTAGCCCTCATCACCCCCCTACGCCACTGGCCTCTGGGCAGTACCCACCGGCCTCCTTCCTGAGGTTCTCTTCCAAGGTAGAGAGTTTCACATCATATGAATTGCGCATGGCGGTCATGTCCTCTTCCAGCTTGGCTCTGGACTCCTGCTCTGCTTTGTAATCAGCTTTTAGCCGGGCCAGCCTCTCCTCATACTCCTGAAAGACAGGCCGGCATGTCCACAGTCAGAGGATCGGAAGAGTGAGAGCTGAGGGGGACCTTCGAGATCATTTAGACCAACCCATTCAATTATCAGGCAACTGGCGATGCAGTGGGTTTGCTCTGGGCAAAACCCTGTCAGAAAAACCCGAGTTCAAATATGGCCTCAGTCACTCACCAGATGTGCGACTCTGAGTAAGTCATTTCACCTTTGTCTGCCTCAGTTTCCTCATCTGCAAGATTGGGGTGATAATAATAACACCCCTCTCCCAGGGTTGTTGTTAGGATCAAATGAAATAATATTTGTAAAGCACTTAGCACAGTGCTTGGCACAATAGTAGGTGCTATATAAATGCTCACTCCCTCCCCTCCCCTCCCCTCCCCTTCCCTTCCCTTCCCTTCCCTTATAAATGAGCCTTGTCCAAAGTCATACAACAAGTTCTTGGCAAAGCAAGTGATGGGGTACTTGGGTGCTTGTGCTTGTACTTGGACCCCAATTTCTCCCTAGTCTCTGAAACATTGTCTCTGACAATCACTGCCCAGCCCAATGCCAAGCAATTACTCATGCGTGGGCCCCAGCACGACCCTTATCTCTCTCCCTGGTGCAGCTACACAAAGCTGGGTGAGACAGTGCTGGGCTGCTCAGGCCCCAGCCCTCAGATCATGCCTCTGGAAGCCTCCCAATTCCTTAGTAAGTTCCTGTCTTGTGAGAAAGCTTTCCCTTGTTGCAGCGCATTCTCTCATCAAGACACAGAGAGAGGGGTGCCTTGCCCAGCCCGAGGAGTTTTGTCCTTGGCCAATCCAAGGACTCTTCCTCCTGCCAGACTCCAAAGATCCATACCTCTGTCATCTCCCTCCCTGTCTGGTATACTCCCTGCACTTTCTCATCCATAGCTTCCAAAGACACTTGGACCTTTAATTACCTCATCAGCATCCCTGGCATTCCTTTCCCATGCCCTTTTCCCTATAAACCCTAGCTCCATCCTCAGTCTCTTGCAGATTCCTTAAGAATCCTTGCCCGCTAAAAAGCTTAACAATAAATCTTTGCCACCTTGACTTAAAGAATGCTTGAGTCTGTGAATTCATTCCAGACGACCCCATCCTGTCCTCCAGCCTTTGAGGGGTCTCAACCTCTCAGACTGCAGCACAAGGATTCCAACTCAAATCCAGTGCTCTTTCCACTATCCCACGCTTCCCTGGGGCTCAACCAAGAGCAAAGAGGCCTGGTGGGATACCTGCTGTCATCTAAGGGAGGGACCCCTTCCTGTCCAGCTTCACCAGGACCTGGTAGCAGTCAGAGGGACCTGGCAGACTGAGTTCATTAGTTGTTTCTTGAGTTTTTTAATTTGTATATATTTTTTCTTTTAATATTACCTTAATTTCTAAACAGATCTTCTCCCTACCTAACAAATCATCCCTTGTAACAAAGAATAAAAAAGGGGGTAGGGTTGAGGGGAGAAACACTAGTATGTCAACATCTTCCATAGGGAAGAGAGGGAGACAGGCATATTTTCTCATCTCTTCTTTGAGGCCAAGTTTGGTCATCATAATCACAGTGTTAATGAATTACTTTTACCTAAATAATTTACTCTTGGCGGCCAACCACCTGGTAATGACCATCTCCTCAGTCTGTCATTGGGCCCAGGCTGGAGGCCTTTTCTCATGCTGACATAGGCTTTGAGAATTCAAGGTACCATCCACACTGGGATGAAGTACAGAAGGACTTTATAGAACGGGGAATAGTTGTTGTTGTGGTTGTGGTTGTTATTATTATTTTGCACAAGAGAAAACTGAAGCTCACAGAGATAGAGTTAATTGCTCAAAGCTAGCCAGCCTGTTAAAGCCGGCAAAGCAGGGGCTAGGACCCAGGTCCCCTGGCTTCAGGCCAAGAATCCAGAGCCATGTTCCTTTGCACAGCCTAGACATGGCCAACCTAAAGGGAAACCAAGGACCTCAGAGGTGCCTCTGCCCCTTACTACCTCTGTGGTATTTGGTAGGTCATTTAATTTCTCTAGGCCTCAGTTTCCTCATTCATAAAATGAAGGGATTAGAATAGATTAACTCTAAAGTTACAGGATCATAGGACCTTGTGATCCCAGGACTTCTGAGTTCCCCGTTATATCAGGCGCAGGAGTAACAACCATCATCTTCATTATCGTCGTCGTCGTCGTTTTAATAAGTGTTTTAAGATTTACAAAGAATCATTTGATTCTCACAATCTAAGGAAGAGATGCTATTATTGTCCCCATTTTACAGAGGGAGAAACTGAGGCAAACAGAGATGAAGTGAATTCCTCAGGGTCGTGCATCGATGTCCACGGCTAGAACTCATTCCAAGTGGGTAAACTTGTTTTCTCTTGTCCTTATAAAAGTAGGTTCCCAGAGAGTGCCTAGGCTCCCTGACCTTGTGGGAACCAGCCCTGACTGCCAATCATTCCCCAGGCAACAGACCTCTTGGGTGCCATATGGAGCCATGGAGTAGAGGAAGGATCACTGGACCCAGTGAAAATCAAAGCCAAGACCTGGCCTCATGAAAGACCATGGGCTCCAACTACTGAGCTGACAACACAAAGACAGCCAACATGGCAAGGTGAGAAAAGCACTGAATTTGAAATCAGTGGATCTGAGTTCAAATCCCTCTTCTGAATCTTACATTCTATATGACCCCTACAGAGTAAGTCTCACCTCACCTCACTGGGCCCCAGCCGGGGAAATGGCTGCCCCATTTCCCAGGCGCGAGCCCTCCCTAGTTCTTACCTCCCGAATCAATTGCTTCTCTGCTTCAGTATCTGGCTGAGGAGGTGGTGGGGGTGGCAGCTTCTCCTCGGTCTGCTCAACTTTATCAAATAGCTGGTTCGACAACAAGGCTGGCAGGAAGCAGATCACAGGGGTCAATGTGTAATCCAAACACACAAGTGCTTTAGAAACCACGCTTAGAAATTAATTTGTATAATCCTATTGATAACAAACTATTATATGTCTCAGTTTTACATACATCACATAATTAAATTAAATATGTTTATTGGGAGTTTAGACCAGACTTGGGGAGCCATTGGCATAGGGTAGTGGTGTCAAACTCATATAGAAACAGATGCCTGCAGGCAGTCATATTGACTTAGAAAACCACAAATTAACATTATCTAGGTTGTATCCAATTTTTATTGACCCTGTTAAACATTTCCCCAAATGCATTTTAATCTGGTTCAGCAGAGTGTTTTGTTCAAGTTTGACACCTCTGGTATAGGGTACTCCTAAGGAGGAAATTCCCTCCAGCAATGAAGATCAACCCCTACTCTCTAAAGTGATTTTCCTTAAGCACAGCTGGACCCCCGCAACCAACCCCAGTGGTTTCCTATTGCCTCTATATCAAATAAAAGCTCTTCTGTTTAGTTACCTTTCCAGCCTCAGTGGATATCACTCCTCTCGCCACATTCCAGGATCCAGCCAAACCGGCCTTCTTTCTGCTCTTCACACAAGACCCTCCATCTCCTATCCAGAACACTAATGCTTCCCTCACCGCCATGTCTGAAATGCCCTCTTCTTACCCCTGCCTTTTTTATAAAGCCCTTCTCTTCTTTTAATGGTAGAAGGGCCAGAATTTAAGAATACCTGGTAGGAACAAATGGCATCAACTGACACCATAGTACGTCTCTGTTTTTTATCAACAAGGCAAGGAAAATAGAGTAGGATGAAAATCTTTATTTCAAAGTGAAATTAAATAATTAATTATCTTATAATTATTTTATAATTAGTTATATTAAATAATTAATTATTTTATAATTAATTAATTAAGCCTACTTGTAATTATTTGTTTTTAAAATGCATTTGCACAGATAGAAGAAATCATAATAAAATTATTTAAATTTTTTTTTAAATTCTTAGTGCAATCAACTCATGTGATTGACTCACCTGATCTTAGACCAACACCATCTTTTACATGAATCCTTTCCTAACTCCCCCAACTCCCTCCCAAATTACCTTGAATTTTATTACTTTGTCTATATTTGTATTTCATCACTTTAAATTAATTCTGTCTATATTTTATATGCAATTCTCTTCCTCACAAGCTCATTGCAAGTAGGGGTCTTCAGTCTTTGTACTTATATCCTCAGTGGCTGGCACATAATAGGCACTTAGTCCTCATGGCACATAGTAGGCACTTAGTACATGTTGATTGGTTGATAGAAGAACTACTTCTAGAATAGTGGTTCTCAAAACTTTTTACACTTTACAGTCTTAAAATTGATTGGTCACCTACCCCCAAGAGCTTTTGTTTGTGTGGATTATATCGAGCGGCATGCTGGAGCCAGCTCATATCAGCTCAAGAAAACTGATTATTAAATTTTCCTTGTAAGAATTTACACCTTGGAAATAGGCAAGTAATACAAATCAGGGCTTGATTCATTGTTTTATTAGTTGTCTAGGCTTAAAAAAATGATGGAGAAAATGATAATTTTGCAGGTTAAATTTAAAAGTATATTATAAACATATTCCCAGTCCCCCCCCGAGCTGGTTGTTAAATATTTACCAGCACATCCTTGGTTTTCTCTATCAATGTTTACCATATTAGAAATTAAAACATCTTAGTATTACTATGAAAATAGTTTTGACCTCAAAAACCCCTGAAAGGGCCTCAGGGAGCCCCAGGACCAAATTTGGAGAACTGTTATTTTAGAAGGCATTTCCTGGTTCCCCCAGCTGTTAAGTGCCTTCCTTTCCAAGGTTACCCTGTATCTACTTTATATGTGTCCTCTATATACCTATATATGTATTTTGTATAGACCTATGTATATAGTCACACAGCTAAGAAATATCTGAGGGAAGATTTGAACTCAGACCCTGACTCCCAGGCCCAGCGCTCTGTGTACTGGCGCCCCCTAGCTGCCCATCAAAAGGAACCAGAGGGAAGCCTCCAGTGTGTTGGGAGGTCCTCTGTAGCTGCTTTTCCGAAAGAACTGGACCCAAATCACCTCTGCTGACGTGGGAGTGGGTTGAGTAGCCCTGCCTCTGGGGATGAGGTTGGAGAGCCCTTGGAGTCATCATTAAAATATAATAATATCTGGCCTTTATTTCTAAAGGGTTTATGCTTCACAAAGTGTTTCCCCATCAGCCCTCTCACTAGATCCTTGGTAAGGGCAGGGGTTATTATCCCCATTTTACAGAAGGAAAAGCTGAGGCCCAGGGAGAGGACTCACCTAAAGTCACACAAGGAGTCAGTAGTCAAACCAGAAGCTGGACCTAGGTCTCTTGAGTCCCAGGACAGTGCTTTCTCCACAACATCATAGAAGACACAGCCCACCTCCAAGGAGAAGGCTGGATGGGAGCACAGGCAAACTTTCCCTCTCTTCACGGTTTTGATGAGGGCTGGTCATCTCTCTCAGCTTTTGCCAGGCTCCCATCAGTCCCTTATCAAGTCAGAACTGATGGCCAGCGTGCCTGCAAGTGACTGTTGGGGTCATTGAATTCGGAAGCAGGAAGACCTGAGTTCAGACCTTGCTGTGTGATCCTGGCCTTGGTTTCCTCATGGGTAAAATGAGAGGGCTGGCTTCGATGGTCTCTAAGTTTCCTTTCTGCTTTAAATCTGTGAACCTATGACTATGATGAGAGAGGAGCATCTCCAGATGAATGGAGGAGTCCAGGGCCCCTGCATTGTGGCAGACCCCAAGAGCTGGAAGACCATGGCCCTGAAGTTAGGGGTGGGGGCTTTCTGGCAGCCATGGCCATTTGCCCCTCACATTCCCACAGCCTCTAGTGACAGCAGAGATATGATGAGCAAGACAGTCTAATAAGCATGTGGGGGGAGGTGGGTGAGTCATCCCAGCTGACGAGCAGCTCAGCACCGCTGCCATGGGGACTGGCGGAGGAGGTTGGCGGTGCACGGGTGGTGGGAGCAAGGAGAAAGAGACCTGCCCCCTAACTGGCAGATATGATCAATATGCCCTCCCACCTCCTACACCCACCGTCGCCCTGGGGTTTGCCAGGCAGCTTCAAAGAGCCCATTATCTCCCTGGCCTACATGAGCAAGAATTCAATGAAAAAGGCCCCCATCATACAGATGTGAAGACCAAAGCATTCAAAGGGAAAAGGATGTGACGCTCAAATGAGACAGACAGACACAGATAGATAGACAGATAAGATAGAAAGACAGACACATGCATATATATGCATTTCATATGTTTGTGGATGTATGTATGTATGTGTGTATATGTTTATACAGATATATAAAAATGCAATATAAATGCCAGCTGTTACAATTACACACAATGAATTTTTTCAGCCCCAGCAACTCATGAAGGTTTCTTGCTACACCACAAAAGGGTCGAGAACTGTGTTGGGGAAGGTGTGCCTCTACGAAGAAAACACCAATCCATGAGGGATTTCAGCATAGTTTACATTAGACTTATCCTCTGGAGACCCCGGGAAACCTCAGATACCTTGGGAGGTGGCATGTTACAGTGAGTAGAGCACTGGTCGGGAAGCCCTGAGTTTGAATCCAGCCCCAGCTATCTACTGGGTGGCCCTGGGCAAGGCATGTGATATCCTAGGGTTCCAGGCAATTCTAAAATGATACCTTACAGAGCAGCAGGTTTATTAGTCAAGGGAAATTTCTCACTGGGAGCTTCCTACGCTTATAATAAAATAACAGGTCTGCCTGGAAAAAAAAATGCAGGGGATCATTCTTATGAGGGCAAATGAAACCAATTCCATCTCATAAGAACAGAAGGATTTAAGAAGCCCCAAGGTGGGCAAACATCTTGTCCCATCACATCTCCTACAAAGACCCTGAGGGACAGTTTGGGGGCCGGTGTCCTCCCTGAAGTACTCCAAAGTTCAGGAATGGTCCTGCTGAATCCAAGGCTCATCTCAGGGGCCCCCTCCTACAGGAAGCCTTTCATGGTGCCCCCAAGTGTTTCTTACTCCTCAAATCCTCTCAGACCTGCTTATCTGTGTAAATGCAGCATGCCTCTGGTAGAATGAAAATTCCTTGAGGACAGGGTCTGTTTATCATTTGGGCTTTGGCACATTCCAAGTGCCCAGCATGGTGTCTGGCACACAGTAGGCACTTAATAGATGTTTGTTTAATTGAATTGAGTGCCTATTTCGACCTGGTAGAGATTCAACTCAACAAATCCAACAAATGTGGTAGTGCCTACTATGTGCATGGTGATGCAAAGATTAAAAACAAATCACCCTGGATTATTGCAACAGCTTCCTAATTATTCTCCCTACCACAAGCCTCTCTCTACTTGAAAACATCCTCCACGTTGGCCAGAGGGACCTTCCCCAAGCACAAAGTTCCCCACGTTACTTCCCTGCTCATTAAGCTCCGACGGCTCCTTGTGGCCTCTAGAATAAAGCCCTGTGACCTTTAAAGACAAAGTCGCTATCTGCTTCCATCCCAGCTTTCCAGGCTTACTCCACCTTACCCCCCCTACTTCAGGAAGGAGTAAAATGGTGGGATGTCCTAAAAGACTCGTTCCTCAAGAACCTTCTGAAGTTCCCTATCCCCTCCAGGATAATGTATAAATTTCTCTCCCTTTCTAATCAAAGTCATCTTCTACAGGGGTGGGAGGATGGATTAGACCGTGGCACAGGAGAGATCAATTGGGAAACTAGCGCAACGCCAAGGAGTGGTAGACACGTGCCATCCAAATAAACATCTAGAGCTTTGACGGTCATCCCCACGCAGATCAGCCAAAGAGCCACGGCGCCCCCGGTGGCCCCGGCGAGCCTACCTGTCAGGCGGTTTGAGGTCACTGTTTGAGCCAGGATGGCCTTCAGTTTCTTGATCTCCTCCTGGTACTCTCTCAGGAGGGCGTCCTTGGGATCCTCGTTGATGCAAGGCTTGTTCTTGATGTTCTTGGCTCGGTTGGCATACCGCAGGGTGCTGAGGGTCTCGTCGTAGTTATTGTCGGCAGGGGACAGGCAGGCCACCATGAGGGTCTTGGTGTTGCCCCCCAAGGAGTCCTGCAGCAGCCGGGTCAGCTTCGAGTCGCGGTAGGGGATATGTTTGCAGCGGCCGTCCACCAGGGCCGAGATGACGTTGCCCAAAGCCGATAGCGAGAGGTTAATTTTTGTGGCCTCCTTGAGCCTCTCTCCTGTCGCTCCCGTTTTCGACTGCCGCTCGCTGCCGGCCAGGTCGACTAGGTTCAACTTCCCGGCCCGAAGGTGGTCTTTGCCTTGCTCATCTGCAGGGGGAATAAACACGTGGCAGCCAGGGAGAGAGAAAGGGAGAGGGGTGGGTTGTTTGGTAAGCTCCATCCCTGGTCGGCCAAGATGAGACCTTGGGGAGGCTTTATCCAACAGGCTTAGTGGACGGGGCAGTGGGCTTGGAGTCACAAAGGCTCAGGTTCAAATCCCCCCTTAGACCCTTACCAGCCACACAACCCTGGGCAAGTCACTCAAACTCTCTGGGCCACAGTTCCTTAATTTGTAAAATAAAGGGGTTGGATATGAGGGCCTCCAAGGTCCCTCCCAACTCAAAATCTACAATCTGATAATACATTAGCTACGTGACCCTCAGCAAGTCTCTTTATCTCTCTGTGCCTCAGTTTCCTCATCTGTAAAATAAGGGAGTTAGACCTGATGGCTTCTAAGGTCCTTTCTGGGTCTAATGCAGTGATTTTCTACCTGTAATCCTGGACTCTTTCCTCTCCTGCATAGTTCCCAAGTCTTACAGATTCCACCTCAGCAACATCTTTTGAGACCATCCCTCTCCTTCCAGTCCCACCCTAGCACAGACGGCCTCTGATTACTCCCCTCCTAGACTATTCCAACAACTTCCTAACAGATTCTCCCACTCCCCTTCTCTCCCCACTCCAATCCATCCTGGAAACCCTGGAAAAATCCTTTCTTACACAGAGATACGGTCCTGTCCCTTTTCCCTCTGCTCACAAATCTTCAGTAGCTTCCCAGCAAGTAAAAGTGACTCCGGCTAAAATTCAAGGACCTCCGTGATGGAGGACCAGGGAATCTTGGAATGAGTTGGCAAGGACCCCAAACAACATCTCATCTGACCTTTAGCTGAACAAGTATCCCTTTTGCAACACACCAGGACTAGAAGTCACGGAGCCTTTGCTGGGCAGCCCATTCCCCTTGGGGACAGCTTTAATTGATATCCAACGTAGATATGCCTATCCATGGCTCCTCATCCTGATCGCCAGAGCCAGGGAGGTCAAGACTAATGGTCTTTTTCATGACAGCTTCAATATACTTTCAATATACCATCTATTTCGAATACTTCAAGACAACTCTCATCCAAAATTTCTCTGACTCTTCTCTTCCTCAGGTTAAATATACCAGTTCCTTCAGCTGAACCTTCTATGGACACAAGACCCTTAACCATCTCAGCCTGTCCTCCCCTGGAGGATGCTCTCCAGCTTATCCACGTCCTTAATAAACTGGAGTGCCCACAACTGAACACAGCACCCTAGATGTACCCTGACCAGAAAAAAGGATAGTGTCCCTCTTTATGGACACCAGGCCTGTCTTAGTGCAGATCAAGATCCCATTAGCTTTCTTGGCGGCCATATCACACTGCTGACTCATATTGAATATGTAGTCCACTGAGACCTCCAGATTTCTACCCCAAACAACCGATATCAAATTATGACTCCATCTTGTACTCTTAAAGTTGACTTTATAAATCTACTTTGGGCCCAACGTAAGATTTATATTTTTCCCTATTCCATTTCATCTTAAGAGGGTACATGGCATAATATATGGAGAGCTGGCCTTGGAATCTGGAAATCCTGTGTTTAAATCCTTCCTCTGATACAGCCTAACTATGAGACCAGAGGCCAAGCCCCCTAACTCCCTTTCTTCCAAATAACCCTCTAAAGCTATAAGTTACAGAAGAATAGCTGATCTAAATTGCTGGAGGGAGTTCCCATACTGGGATCACAGGTTCAGATCCGCCCCCCTCCCCATTTTTTATTGTATTAGATTCAGTCCAATGTTCCAGCCTGCAACGTTCCCTTAGAATCCTGACTCTCTGACCCAGTGTGTTAGCTCTCTTTCCAAGCTCTCCGCCATCTGTCTTTCTCACCTCATATCACTGTCCTAGACATAATATAGAGTGTTGTGAAATTTCTCTCCTCTGCATGGTCTGAGTGCCTTTGTTCACCCCACTCTTTATTAGTTAGAATGCTCTTCCTCCTTCCTTTTTGCTTAAAGAATTCCTCTTCATCCCTTAAAGCCCTATTCAAACCTTACTTCCTCCAGGAAGCCTTTTCTGCTTCCTCCCAGTTAGTAATAAACTCTCCTCTTGGACCTTACAGGACCTCTCTATAGCACTTTTCATGTAACATTGTAGGAATCCAAGTTTGAATCTTATCCCTATACTAGACTGTAAGCTCTATGAGGGCAGGGACTGAGTTAGCTAAGAATCTGACATGATATTCTGCACATAGGAAGTACAAGCCTACACTTGAACTTTTGAAACAGTGGCCTTTCATTAACCCCAGAAAACCCCATATGTTCTATGGTGGATTCAGGGGGCAGGGAAGAGGAGAAAGGTAGGAAAAGAAAAGGAAACTTGCTTCAGCAACAGAGCTGGCACTGGGAATTTTTGTATCTGGGACAAGAATCTAGACATCCCTAAATGGCTCAGTGAAATCCAGATATTACGCTCCACCAAAACCAGAAAACAACTCATCTTAAGTAAGCCCTAATAATAACTACCCTGTCTCTATAGCACCATCTGAGAGCTTCCTATTTTCTATTCTTATTTTAACTAATTATTCTCGCTAATGAGGTGCCAAGTGTTGTCCTTTGCTTATATCTCAACACCCTCCAAACTCGGTGCTCTCAAAATGATACCCTCTATTTAGAGCACCATGGGGCAAAGCCTCAGTCCCCTTGTCCTAGTTACAGCTCTGTCTAGTGGGGACAGGAGAAAGGGGGCTGCCCTCTCAATGTGGATACTCAGCCTCAGAAGGCAAGCACCTGTGATAGGTTGATTACTGCTTGGGTCCCATCATAAAATGGTTCCAAACCAGACAGGGGAAGGGTTCTTTGATTCTCGGATGTTTCTGTATGTCAGGTCAAATGGGATCAATTCGTGCGTGTGAGATTGGGGGGAGAAGAAAGAGGGAAGGAGGGTGTTGTGGTACTTAAGTTCTCCCAAGCTGCACAATAAAATACAAACAATCCAAAAAAATTGCTCATCTTAAATAAGCCACCGGAAGTGCCCTAATAATAACAACCAAGTTTCTAAGTGCCATAGCAGATAGAATGCTGGGCCTGGAGTTAGAAAGACCTGAATTCAACTCCAGCCTCAGACACTTCCTAGCTGTATGACCCTGGGCAAGTCACTTAACCTCTGCCTGCCTCAGTGTCCTCATCTATAAAATGGGAATAATAATAGCAACTACCTCGAAGGGTTGTTGACCAAATAAGGTAATATTTGTAAAGCACCTGACACACACCATGAGCACCTAACAAGTACTGTTCCCTTCCCCATCCCCACCCCACCCGCTTTTTAGCATTTCCAGTTTTACAAAGCATCTTTCTTACAGCACTAAGAAGCAGAGAGGTACCACTTTACAGATGAGGACACTTTTACCAAAATTGTGAAATGTCTTGTCTACCAGCACACAGCTGAGAGGGAGAATTTGAACTCAGGTCTCCTTGATTCAGCATTTTTTACTCCACAGCACAGTGCCCCTCCGTGTCTCACTTTAACCAAACAGCACATGAAAAGAAGGATTTATAGATAATTCTTCACTTTCCCACTGCCCCTGGCCCTTACTGCAATCTCTCTGGACGCTGCCATAGCCCCTTAATGGGTCTTTCCACTTGGACTCTCTTCCTCTCTGATTCATCCTTCATCACACTGGCCAGACCTTTTGTACAGAATCTGGACGTGTCACTTCTCTGCTCAGGAATATTTAGTAGCCCCCTATGACTTCCTAGGTAAAGTTCATCTCTTCTGTCTGGCCTTCACGGCCTTTGTGTTGACTCTCCCACTAGACCAGGAGCTCCTGGAGAGCAGAATATGGCTTTTTGCCTTTCTTTGTATCCCCAGCATTTGGCATAGTACCTGAAACATAGTAGGTGCTTAATAAATGCTTGTTAACCCCATAATCTGGTACCACCCTTCCTTTACAAACTTATCTCATATTATGCCTTTCTATCAACTCTACACTATAGCTAAATGGACTAATTATTCCCCATATGAGTCCTAACCTTTCCTGTTTTTAGCCTTTGGTATGTGCCTGGAAAGGATCTGTTGAATTCCTATTCATCCTTTAAAACCCACATCAGATACCACCTCCTCCAGGGCACCATCTCTGATCCCCCTTCTCAGTCATAATAACCTTTCCTCCTGTTATATAAAGCTAAGGTTCTTGGCATAAAACATGTTGTGTTTGTGCATCGTGTCCCTCTGCCAGACGGTAAGCTCTTGGAGAAGAGAGCTCATGGCATATTTAATCTTTGAATCTCCACACCACCCCACTCCTTACCCTCAGTGCATTGTATACAAGATGTTTAATTCAACTTAACAAGCATTTATTGAGCTCCTACTATGTCCTAGAAATTGTGCTAGTTACTGGAGATACAAAGACAAAAACGAGTGCCTGCCCTCAAGGAGCTTACATTCTTATGGGGAGAAATAACATGTCTACACAGATAAGCAAATACAAAGCTACCAGAAGTCATTTCAGTACACTGCTAGGAAACCCTTTAAGAGAAGACACTTGGAAGAAAGCTAAAGATGCTAAGACATGGAGGAGAAGAGGGAGAACATAAGTGTTTGTGGAACTCAACAGAACATGTTGGCTGAGGCTGGACTTGGGCGTGGAGTTGGAGGACCTTGGTTCAAATCTCAGCTCTGGTGCTTTACTAGCTGCATGATTCTGATCAAGGCACTTTAGCCGGGCTGGTCTACCACTCATTACCTAAGTAACCTTGGTCAAAACACTTTGCTCTTCTGTGTCTCAGTTTCCTCATCTGTAAAATGAAGGGGGTGGAGTAGATGACCTCGGAGACTCTTGCTGGTTCTAAATATGTAGCTTATATTTAGGAATGGTCTGTGTGTTTCACATCGCCTACCTGAGCCTCAGGGATCCCCCCTCCCGCCAGACTGCCCACACCTACCCACAGCATAGATCTCGATGCTGATGGTGAAGATGGAGTGGGAGCGCGAGGAGTCCTTGTTCATGAGGGTGTAGCCCACCGAGCGGTTCTTCCAGCCCATCTCCATGATGCGCTCACAGTGGGCCACGCTGTGGACCGTGTGCATGGACAGCCCCTTCACATATACGCCTTTCTCCGGGTGCTCCTTCAGCTGCCAGAGACAGCACAGCCTGGGTCACGGGGGAGCTTACAGATCCTCCCACCCACCTGCTGCTAACCTCAACCACTATGGCATCTCCACCATGTGTCCCTAACTCCGTCCTCCTTGGCTGGAGCAGCCACCCACAAATGGGACAGAATTATAGGATTTTAGCATTGGATGGGCCATCCAGTCCAGCTCATACACCCCAACAAAGACTACCCATTACAACATATCCCATGGGGTCATTCAGCCTCTGCCTGAAAACCTCCAAGGTGGGGAACCCACTACCTCCCCAGGCAGCCCTTTCCACCTCTGGACAGTTCTCATCATAAGAAAGGGTTTTTTTTTCCTTTTTTAAAGAACTTAATCATTCATTTATTCATTCATTCATTCATTCATTCATTGAAATTCAGTGGCCTTTTCTCAATGCTCATCCTTCTTGACTTCTTTGTACTTTTCATGGTTTATCATCTAGCAAGGTTTTCTTAACATCAAATCTAAATTAGCCTATTTGTAGCTTTCACCTAATAAACCCTGGTCCTACTCTGAGAGGCCAAACAGAATGAGTCTAATTCTTTCATATGACTGTCCATCAAATACTTGAAAACTGTTATCCTGTCCTCCCCATCCTCACCAGCCTTGATTTCTCTCAGTCAAACATCTCCATTTCCTTAGGCCAGTCCTTCTGTGTCATGGACACAATTCCCTTCACCATCCAGATTGCTCTCCTCTGAAAATTCCGCAGCTTATCCACTTCCTTCCTAAAATGTGGCAGCCCAGAACTGAATACAATATTCCAGTGGTGGAGAACACAGAAGAAATTTCATCCCCCCATCCCTGGAAGCCATGCTTCTCTTAATTTAGCTCAAAACGGCACTCCTGCATGTTGGGGCCATATCTCATTATTGACTTCTATGGGGCTTGTTGTCTACTAAAAGCCTTAGATGTTTTTTAAAAGACAAACTGCTGTCTTACCATTCCTCTTTTGTCTTGTACATATGAAGTTGATTTCTGAACCTCAAGATCTGAGTTTACATTTATCCCTACTGAATTTCATCTGATTAGATTAAGGCCAGTGGTCTAGCCTGTTATGTGTGAGCTATCCCTCCTAGTTTTGCACCACCTGAGTATTTGACCAGCAGGCCATCAAGGCTTTTATCAGAACTGGAAGAGAATGGGCTATCCTATGTGACTCTGGGACCTCGGCACTCCAGTCTGAATCTCCTTAACACAGCACTCTCTGCTCCTCTGGGATGGTTGTTTTCTTGAGTGGCAGATTTAGTCCTTAACTCTTTGGGAATGAGCTGCTAATGTGAGTGGCTATTTCCATCCAAAATACCAGTCACTCCCTATTCACAGAGCCTGCCTTCCTAGTCTGATGGAGAGCAGCATTCCAGATAGCTGGTGGCAAACACATTAAATCATGCGATTGCCAGCCTGCTTCCCAAGCTGCAGAGTTGTTTGGCTGCTGACTAAAAGCTGTGAAATACAATATTTTCCAAGTGTGAAAAAAAAACACAGCCCAGACCCTGCATCACTCTAATGGATATCTAAAGGATCAGGGCAAGAGTCCATTGTCTGCCAAGTGGTCCCAGTTGGCTTCCTAGCCCCCAGCAGCCTGGAAATCATCACACTGTCAAAGACCAGGACGCTTCTCACACACTGCAGCTACGATGTGACCAGAATCTAAAGAAGGCCAGCTGCATGCAAAACGAGAGTCATCCCTCTCTATTGGGAAGCAAAACAGATTAATGACCTGAACGCATTGTCTGAGGAAGTGGAGTTAGACTCATTCTGATGTGACCAGTTTTTGTACATAGGGTACAATGTTATGAAAGGGTCCTTAAAACAGAAAACGTCAGGGCCCTTAGAACACAGAATGTCAGGGCCGGGAGGGACCTTAGAACACAATGTCAGAGCTGGGAGGGCCCTTAGAACAAAGGATGTCAGAACTGGGAAGGCCCTTAGAATAGAGAATGTCAGAGCTGGGAGAGCCCTTAGGACACAAGATATCAGAGCTGGAAAGGGCCTTAGAACTCAGAATGTCAGGGCTGGGAGGGATCTTAGAACACAACGTCAGAGCTGGGAGGGCCCTTAGGACACAAGATATCAGAGCTGAGAAGGGCCTTAGAACTCAGAATGTAAGAGCCGGAGTAGACCTTTAAAACAATCTAGAAATAGAGACTTTTATAACTGAAAGGGACCTTTGAGATCGTCTAGCCTGACCACCTCATCTTGTGCGTGACTCCAAACCCAGCCCTCTTTCCTCTTACTGCTTCTGTCAACCAAGGCATTAAAAGAAAGCTTTACATGATCACCAAAGGGGCTTACCACTGCTGAGAACGACCAGTGAAGAATTCAAGTGGAGGAGAGATTCCCTAGAGGTTTCTCTAGATTTGCTGTTAATATAGTGCTGATGCACCAAACCCTAGGACAGTGAAATGTTAAATGATGAGAATTCAGCCTAGGAAAAAACAAGTGGATGAAAAATATCTCTCCTCCTGACCAAGATGCTGTGATATGCAGTGAATATAGCTACCCACAGAACTGATATATCACATACCGTGGGTAGATACTGAGGATGAACAAAGAACTGGGAGCAAGGGGCAGTTAGGTGGCACAGTGGATAGAGTTCCGGTGTTGGAGTCAGGAGGACCTGAGTTGAAATCTGGCCTCAGACTCTTGACACTAGCTGTGTGACCTTGGGCAAGTCACTTAACCGGATTGCCTCACCAAAAAAAAAAAGAAAGAAAGAAAGAAAAGAAAAGAAAGAACTGGGTCTAGAATGGAATGGGAGAAGAGTGAGCTGGATGGCCTTTAGGGACTATCCAGTACTTTTTTTTTGTCCAGTACTTCTAATGAAGCCAGACTTCTCCCTGAAACAAACTTCTCCCATGCTTTAGTAATAATATTTACTCAATGATCCAACAGAGCCCACTATGAGGTAGGGAATACCGAAGTCTCTGAAGAATTAGAGCTGCCAGTCACCTGACTAGGAATGGGGGAGGCCATATGGTAGATGTGAGTTGTTCAGTTGTTTTCAATTGTATTTAACTCTTCATGACCCTTGTGGGTTTTCTTGGCAAAGATACTGGAGTGGTTTGCCATTTCCTTCTCCTCGGTATGAGCAGACTATAACAAATTGCTAATTAATTAACATATTAGCAATACAGGAAAAGTGGCTTTAAGCAGAGGTGTCAAACTCACTGAAATGATTAGCAAAAATAAATAAAAATGGAATGTTAATTTGTGGTTTTCTAAGTCAATTTGTGGCCTTCAGGGATCTGTTTCTATTTGAGTTTGATTTTGATGACTTAAAGGATAATATCAGAGGGAAAACAAGATGTTTTCAAACTCTTAGTACAATTTTAAGCTATTCAAGCCATAAGGGCCCTTAGAACTCAATTATTTCAGAGCTGGGGGTAAGAGAGAATTTAGAAAACAGAATTTCAGAACTGAAGGGGGCTAAGAGATATTAACACTTAAAACTAGGCTGAGACATTTTGAACACCCTAGATATGATCAGAAAAGCAGGCTAGCAGAGTATCAAGAACGAGGGGAAAACTGATGGAAAGCCTACACTTTTCATTGATATACACACAACAATATAAAGACATCTAAAGGAAAGTTCCCAGCATAGTAGGTGGGCTCATACTCAGTTTGACAGGCTAATTTCAGAGGCTGGAGAGGTGAATCTTTCCTGTTCATTCCCCAACTTTTAGCAGCAAATACTCTCTAAATGGATAACGTGATAAGCATTACCACCAGGCACCAAAAAAAGGGAAGATGGAGCCCAATGCATATCTGGTGCATGCAAGTGGAATTTATTTAAGATAGAGCACAGATAGTTGGGTTCCAAGGCGATGGATAAAGATGCTAGAATATGATTACCTTCTTTCTGGGCCTGCCTATGTGTTCTGTCTTCTTTGATTTCCTATGCCTGGGGAGGGCAGGCAACAGTGTAATGTAAGGCTGGACTGTTCTTGCTTATGTACAGAAGAAACCTTGACTCTAACATAGTTTATCAGTACAGACTCACTTTTGATCTGGTCTTGAAGGCTGAAGGGTGCTGACTGGCCTACGAGTAAGTGAATGAGCTCTCCTCCATCTTTCTGAACTCATGCTTGGTCTTTGGGGCTGCTTGGCCTTGGCACATAACCTTGGAAGAGAGCTATTAGCTCACGGTAGGCAGCCTGCCAAGTAAACTTAACCTAAGAATGACCTTGAAGAAGGTACTGTTATGAGAGTGGATGGCAAAGCAAAGCAACATCTCTTGCCCTTTTGAGGAGAGGTGGAAGTCCATAGGTTCAAAATGAGGCATATGTGTTCAGATGTAGCCAGTGTATTGATTTGTTTAACCTGACTGTACTTATTCACTAGAGTGGAGGGCTCTCTTGACAGAAGAGAGATCACTACAAAGTGACAGTAATATTGAACGAGGAAAGAGCATCCACAAAACATTGGAAAATGCATCCATAAAGCCTGTTGAACTTTTTAACAAGCAAGCTAAGAGGTTATAATGATATAATGATATAATGACACACTTCAAAGAAAACTTTGTTGTTCAGTCATGTCTGACTCTTTATGGCCCCATTTGGGGTTTTCCTGGCAAAGATACTGGAGTGGTTTGCCATTTCCTTCTCCAGCTTATTTTACAGATGAGGAAACTGAGGCAAACAGGGTGAAGTGACTTGCCCAGGGTCACACAGCTAGTAAATGCCTGAGGCTAAATTTGAACTCAGGTCTTTTTGACTCCAGGCCCAGTGTTCTATCCACTGTGCCACACAGCTTCCCAAAACCATTAACTTTTAATGCACAGGCAGAAAGGGCTATAATTGCTATACAAGTTTCTTCCTCCGAGAAAGGAAGTCTTCCCAAATGGAAGTCGCAGTGATGGTTTTAGAAGACAAGACGTAATAGAAAGATTCAATTAAACAGTGAGTTAGTCCATTACTTAGCTTTATATCTACAGGCAGAATTTCATGCATCAATGGTCACATAAGGCCCTC